CTGGGCATGCTCATTTAGCAGATAATATATTCTTTTCCAAATGCAAATTTAAATGACTAGATTATGAAGAGTGGGTGCGGTCATACCTAGTAATCTTAAACATTTTGACTTACACGAATTACTCTCCTTCCTTATCTCATCATATTAAATCATATTAACACATCCTCCAGAGAGACTCAGGCACATGAAGTTGATATTAGTCCAGTTCTAAAAACCTGCTATCAAGTATTCTGATGGCTTTATCTGATCTGGTTATCCAAACATGCAGCTGGACATACAGGGGTGGAAACATGCTGGCCTTGTAGATGAGTTTCAAGTAGAATGGCCAATAGTTTTATAAGGCTGGTTATGTGAAACCAAATCAAGGGTGGTGCCTGGGGCTGAAGAAGTAGGGTGCTGGTCCCATATACCGGAGGTGGCAGGTTCAAACCTGGCCCCGGCCAAATACGGCAAAAAAAAAAAAAAAAAAAAATGCAAAATCAAGTTACTTCTTATTCTTTACAGTGAAACTCCAGTTCCTTGTGACAATATTGTTTACAATTATCATATTGCTAAAATGGATATCATTTATTAAACACTTAATAAATACTAGTTATCTTTAATATATCTATTTTCTCCTTTAATGCTCAAAACTATCCTGTAAGATAGACACTATCATAATATGATACACATGTAGAGTTGACAAAGTTGAGCTTTAGAGAGGTCAAGTATCTATCCCCAGTTGACTGGGAGACAGTTAAGAATCTTGGATTTGAACTAAACCCCATGTCTTAAACACTGTATGGCATTGCTTCCACTTCATCAAAGGTTTTGATAGAAGTGTGGATGTGGGGGAACTTAGTGATTAAGGTGTATAGTTGTTTTAAAAACATTTTTCCACCAGTTGGAAGGTAGCTTAGTGAATTTGAAATGAACTGAAAAGTCATCACTAATTTCTAGTTAGCAATCAAAGAAACCTAGATATTCAAGTAACAGAAGCTTTACACAAAGGAATCTTTATTCAAAAATATTATACATGCTCCAGTATTTTCTGTGGTTCTGAAAATTTGCTCTTATGGCCAGTTCAATCTAACTTGTTCCTAGAATATTTGAGAAGCACCATGGTACTCAGTGTATTATCACATACAAAGCATGTGAATATACCAGATTATGTTCTGCTTGTATTCGAAACAGTAACCAACATCCTACAATGTGTTAGGATATTACTAAAGTACGTACATGTGCTTGGGTTTAAATAAATGTTCTTACTTCCACTGAAGTCAAGGCTCTACCACTGCCTGTTCAAATTCAAGTTGTTACCTTTAATCCATGTGTGGAGTTTTGTCTTCATTTTTTCACGTGTGGAGTTTTTGAGGGGGTAGCCTATTCCCAGCTGCTTTTCAAGATTCATAATTTGGAACATTCTACATGTGAAATTGAACTGATACTTTATATACCTTTTCACTTTACAAAACAGTCATATATGGTTTATGTTAAAAACAAAAGCAAAAATTGGGGGGAAAGTTAAAGAAATGGAGCTAGATAACAGAATTTCTCTTTTCTAATATCTACTAGAAGTAAACAAAAAGATGAAAATAAAATCACAGTAGGAAGAAAAAAATCACCCAGAACTAGGAAAGAGAGAGAAAATAGACTTCACGCTGTAAACTTAAAAAAATGTTAGCTAAGGAAAGAAACAACAGATGTTGTTAGGAGAAGGGAGAGGCTTCTTCTAACTTTGCCTCTTGAAACCTCGTTTAGCCATAACCTCTAAAGAATGGACAAGCAATTTCATTTTTTCCTTATTTTGAGAAAAGTAAACTAAATGTACATTCTCTTCTTTTCCTATTATGAAAAATTATAAGTTGTAATGGCTAAAGTTGAAACATAAAAAAGGGAGGAAAATCAAAATTCCATAATTCAGCTTGATGGAAGGATGGTCTCTGGGTCTCCATGCTGAAGACCTAGGCACATACTACATTCCCCTCCTCAAAACAATGCTTGTGATATCTCTTCCCTCCTGAAAACTTCCCTTCACTCATGAATGCCCAACGGACTCCACAGATTGTAATTATACTATATGCCTTTATGATCTGGTCTTTTTCACTGTAAATTCTTATCCTACCACTCTCCTAAAATAAACAATCTATTTTACGATAAAAATGATTTTAAATAATTTCTGGAAAACAGAGCTAACTCTTTCCAACCATTTTTTTTCAATTGTCATATATCATTCTAGAATAACACTCACAATGTTGTTTTATTCCTTATCATAAAAATATACAGTCTTTACAACTTTCTTTTACTCTTAGACGATAGAGTTCTTGAAATTAGAACTCTGAAGACAGTTAATCACTTGAAAGATAGACATTTAATGAATATTTATTAGATGAAAAAAATTTTTTTGTTGAAATGTATTATGGTTTTTTAAAATTTCACAATCTTCTTGACAGTATCCTTGAAAGCTTGCTTCACTTGCTGATTTCTTAGGGTATAAATGAAGGGATTCAACAAGGGGGTAACTGAAGTAATGAGAACGGCTATTCCTTTGTTGAAGGCACCACTTTCTTTTGCAGAGGGATTAATGTACATGAACATGCAGCTGCCGTAAGACAGTGAGATGACAATCATGTGGGAGGAGCAAGTGGAAAAGGCTTTTGTCCTTTGCTGGGCAGAAGGGATCCTGAGAATGGTCCTGATAATGTATGTATAAGAAAGAGTCACCAGCGCCAGAGTACCCACTAGGGTCACAACAGCCAAGAGTATGACCATCAGTTCTAAGAAGCTTGTGTCTGAGCAGGCAAGTTCCATGAGGGGGCCGTAGTCGCAGTAATAGTGATTCAGAATATTGGAGGCACAGAAATCTACCTGGCTCATTAGGATGATTGGAGGTAAGATAGCTAAGAACCCTCCAAGCCAGGAGCAGAACACAAGTTGTATACAAACTCTTGTACTCATAATGGTCAGGTAATGCAGGGGTTTGCAGATGGCGACGTAGCGATCATAGGACATGGAGGCCAGGAGGTAAAACTCTGTTGCCCCAAGAAATATAGTGAAGAAATACTGAGTTAAGCAGCCAGCAAAGCTGATAAGTTTATTCCCTGTTGTCATGCTGGTCAGAAATCTGGGAATAAAAATGGACGTGAAGGAAATTTCTAATAAGGAGAAATTCCGGAGGAAGAAATACATGGGGGTCTGGAGGTGGGGGTCTAGCAAGGTGAGGATGATGATAGTCAGATTGCCTAGGACACTTAGCATGTAGGTGAGGAAGAGAAAGATGAATATTACCACTTGGAGTTCAGGTTGATTTGTGAGGCCTAATAGAATAAACTCACTAAACCTGGTTCTGTTTTTCATTATTGATCTTCAGTAGACACATCTAAAGGGAAAAAGGGAGAAAGATGACAACTGAAGAGGTTCTCAGAACAGAAGAGATAAAGCTGATTTTAACCTGCAAAATCAGGTCATTCATTACTCACCATGCAACTGGCCCAAACCTGTGTCCCATTGTAGTGCACTTGGCTCCATGGAAGTCCCATATCTTCTACACAAGTCATCTCGTTCCTAGAATTGTTTTCATTTCTCAAGTTGACACATTCCTAGGCATTTAATAAAATGTATTATAGAATAACTATTCACATTGTTTTTCAGAAGAATATGTTTTTGAACCTATTCTTTCCTATCAAAGTGTTTATGAAAATTTCACATTTAAACCACGTACCCTGACTTTATTAATCTTCCCTACTCTGTGCTCTTGGTAGAAATCTCTTACCTGATTCTGTTTCCTGTGCTTTCCTGTTTCTTTCTTTCCTTTTCCTGAACTATCTGATACTTCACTGACTATCTGCTAAGATCCTCATCTCCATCACTGTCCAATCCACTGACATCCTTGTCTGAGAAACAAGTAGGAATTTCTCCACACAGACGATGCTGAAGATCATCTCCTTTTATATTGTGAGCCTTTTCCTCTGCGTGAACAAGGCTGAGACATCGCTAAGTCATATTAATTATCATTTTCTTATAAGTTCCTTGGCTCCATCCAGAGTTTTTTAGGCGTCAATTTGAGATATATCTCTGAGAATAGAATCCCAAGAGATCAATAGGAACCACCACAGAAGGTATTTTGCTCAAAGTCTTAGAGAGTCCACAATGGCAGCTAAAGATGACAGTTCATCGTGACCCAAACATTAACATTCTCTATTCTTGGCACACAGAAACCAGAAGAAGTACATCCATTTTTTTGAAAATAAGAGTTCTTTGTAGATGAATTGGCAATTCCCAGGGAAGGAAATGTGGTGGTAGTATTCTGTGTGAATCTTTAGATTTTTTTCTGATTAAGAAGCAAAGATGAGGCTTGGCACCCATAGCTCAGTGGCTAGGGAGCCAGCCACATACACCAGGGCTGGTGGGTTTGATCCCACTTGGGGCCTGCCAAATGACAATGACAACTGCAACAACAGCAACAACAACAAATTAGCTGGGTGTTGTGGCAGGCTCCTATAGTCCCAGCTACATGGGAGGCTAAGGCAAGAGAATCACTTAAGCCCAAGAGTTTGAGGTTGCTGTGAGCTGTGATGTCATGACACTCTACCCAGGGCAACATAATGAAACTCTGTCTCAAAAAAATAAAAAATAAAAAAAGCAAAGATGATATAAAGATGCACCTCTCATTCACATGCATGCGGATTAGAAAAACCATATAATTATAATCATTCTTGTCAATCTCACCATTTTCCCATATAGCTTTTGGAGATATTAGGGGATGTTAACAGTGACCTAGATTTCCTACAAACCTTCCTTTCCTGTTCATACTAACCTCTTGGTTTGGCAAGTATTGCATTTCTTCCAGATTGATTGATTTCAGGATCCACATTTGTAGAATGATAACATCAGTCACTTAAAAAATATATAATGCTCATACCTTCGACAATCTGAATGACCATAGTGAGAGGTTCATTTCATTGTTTTTACAAGGTAAAGCAAAGATGAGATCTGCTACGTATATCTGAGTAGTATGACATCTATCATGTTTTCTGTTGCGGTCTCATCCACATTCTATCCTTCTCTTAATAGGAGTATCCAAATATGTGAGATGTAACGAAGAAAGATGTATATTATTTTCCAGTGTAAAAATCCAAGCAGGAATCAAATCACAGTTCCTGAGATACAGTCCTCTAAATGTGCGACCAAAAGGAGAAATAATAGTCCCCAAACAGTTATAAAATTAGAAGGAAAGACTTTGATAGACTGAAAATTTCTTATTTCTGTTCTAAGAGATATTATGTTGAAGTCCACAGAAGGCTGGATATAGCCTCCTTACAGTTTCTGTATTAGCTAGAGTGACACGGGTTTTACCTGCTCTTTTTGAGAGCAAGCACATGGGGATTAATTTCCTGAAGAAGCTAAAGGTGCCCTGTGGACTCAAGTTCAAAAGGTACTAATGAATCTCAATTGTTGTCAACTTTGAGAACAAACTGTAAACATATGGGCCTGAACAAAGGCTCCAGAGAGACCACTGAGGTAAATGTTCCATAAGAGAATCTGCCACAGCCACGAAAGTGGAGAAGTTTGGAGCAGTGGAGTGAGGCTCCCTGGGGATGCCTATACCTGGTCCAGTCCTTGCTCTTATTGTAGCCAGGTGCTATGGCACCAGGAGTCAAACACTCATGTAGGTTAAAGTTGTCCTTTATCAGCATGATTCAGAATCCCAGGAAGGCAGTCAGACCATTCTTAAATGATCATTCTGTCTTACTCAGAGGCGACTTTATTTCTTTTCTTTTTCAATTTTTCAATTTAAAATTTGTTCCTTTGGATACAGAGTCTCAGTTTGTTGCCCAGACTAGAGTGCCATGGCTTCAGATTAGCTCACAGCAACCTCAAACTTCTATGATCAAGGGATCCTTTTGCCTCAGCCTTCACAGTATCTCGGACTACAGGCCCCTACAACAATGCCTGGCTAATTTTTCTTTTACTGTTTTTTAATAGAGACCAGGTCTTTCTCTTATTCAAGCTCCTCTTGAACTCCTGAGCTCAAGGATTCTTGTCAGGATTGCAGGCGCCACCATGCCAAGCCTCTCATGCTGTTTCTTAAGTTATTATATTTTAGTTACACATCATAAAACCCCTTGGTCCAATGTTGCAGGACATTAATTATACATCATTAAGCCCTTTTGTCTCAAGTGGTAGGGCACTAGCCATGCACAATCAACCTTCTTATCTCAATAGCAAATAACAGAGTACTTAACATGAGTTACTACTTTCTAAACCACCTGTTGTTATCTTCAGCCCAGGGACCTGATGGCTTTCACAGTGCTGAAACCAGGGGAGGACAGTGAATGTGACTGATAACTAGTTAGATCATTAAGTAACTTTTACAGCTGGGGGGCAGGGGGTTGGAGCTGTTTTTCTCCCTTACATTGTTGTCTCCTTTAATAATCCAGTTTGGCCAATGCTCAGACCTGATATCAATGAAGGGCCTTCACCATTAAGATCTGCATCCCTAAAATTAATGACTCCTTCCAATCAACAGCCACAAAAATAGTTTGTTATTTATGAATTTGGCTAATATGTTTTATTTGATACATAAATCTAATAGCCTCTCAGAAATAATTTGTGTTTACCTTTGAAAGAACTGTAAAGGAAAACAAAACATTTCAGGCTCCTCAAACTACTTATGTCAAAGGGAAAGGTAAGCCTGGAGGCTGACCTATGACCTATGACAACACCCTCTGGCTGTTACTTCACAACCTTGTGTCAAAGCATTCCAGGCCCACCCCTGCAAAAAGGCCAATGTCCTCAAGACTGCCCAAACAAATTAAGCATAAGTAAATTCTTTGCTGGCCTACACAAGAAGTGTCAATTGAAACTTTGGTCTGCAATCTAAATCTATCTCCTAAAACTAAAATCTGTTCCATTCCACAGTGACAATGTCAATTACAAGCCAGTCTTCCCAAGGGCAGACTAAAGACAAGATGAGATCATACGTCGCATCTTAAAACCTCCGTAAAACCTCTTTGGAAAAAACAGCCACAGACATGTTTGTGGTTTGCATTGTTTCCTGGATATATCTTGAAGCTGGCTTAATAAGCATTGATTGATTGATTGAAATTCTTGCTTCAGTCACTCGTATTGGTTATCAGAACAATATACTTTCATTCATTTCCCTGTGGGATGTGTTAACTTAATAAGTGGCAGAAAATGAGAGTCACACTTAATTGACTTTGTTTATTTTTATTTATTTATTTATATTTGAGACAGAGTCTCACTATGTTGCCCTCAGTGGAGTGGCGGTGTGTCACAGCTCATAGAAACCTCAACCTCTTGGACTTAAGTGATTCTCTTGCTTCAGCCTCCCAAGTAACTGGGACTACAGGGGCCCACCACAATATCTACCTATTTTTTTTTTTTTTAATAGTTCTCATTGTTTAGCAGGCCCGGGTTGGGTTCAAACCTGCCAACTGCCCAGTGTATGTGGCCAGCACGCGAACCACCGAGCTACAGGTGCCAAGCCTTAATTGAGGTTTATTTTTTATTTTTTTTTAATTGAGGCTTATTAACCCCAAATTCTTAGGACATGCCTGGGAAAAACATGAACAGCAGACCAGCTGTGTGGGAGGTAGATAGGTTGACTTCTCAGTGGGGTGCACTGCCCTCAGTCCTGGGGTATGCAGGGGAAAGCATCCAGATGCCTGTTCCTGAGGACTCATCAAAACCAGGAAGATGAAAACAGGCTAGAGATGCTGGTCAGGCCAGACCTCCTCTGTGTACAGAGAATCAACACGTGGGCAGGCTAAATTCTTTGACCTTCTAATATTAGTTAGATTAGGAAATCTGGCTTTACTTCTCCTGCAGGGATACAACTAGCTTTTCCTTCCCCCTTTCTAAATGCACCATGAGCCATTTGTTAGCAACCCCCTACCTTTTACCCAGCCTCTCTGTCCTCTGTCCATCCAGTCTTCCTGAGCACTTGGGATTCTCTCAACCCTACCTTTTGGCACTTTTGGATCTGCACCTTTGTTAGAAATCAGCAAAAGCCTTCTAAGAAGCTACGGAGGAGCTGTATTTTCTGGTTTTTGCTCAGCCTGAGGTAATGTAAGCCTTCTCCAGGCATTCTCAGACTTTATGCTTTAAACTGGCCTAGGTTATTTTTCCTCAGCATCGTCTCCCAGTGGGCTTGCAAACCAGGTCAGGATTCAGTGGGCAATGACCCCTGACAAAGCTGTGGCTGTTTTTCTGGAGGGGAAGTTGCAACCATCAGCATTTTAAAGGCATACAGAGAGAAAAGAAAAAATGGAGTGGTGGAAGTGATCAAGGAATTTCCTTAAGGAGTGATCTGTGGTGACAATTCTTCACAGGTGACTGAGGCTTATACTTTCTCTTTTGC